GTGAAACCCATCGAGAGGCCCAACAGAGGCGTCTACAGCTTTGTGAGTGGCTATGTAACCGAGGACAGCCGCTCCGGTGATTCTCTGTAGCATCAAGTAGATTCTATCCAGCTCAGCCGGCATCACCGCGACCAGCTGGGCAATCGTTTGTTGCTGAAAGCTGCACAGGCCACTGCCGGTGATTCTTATAGAGGAAGAGTGGTAGGCCGCGTCCCGAGAGAAGAAGTCGATCAGAATAGTTACGACAGTCACAGGCACCTTCCCATTGTCCCAGTCTACATGCTCTGATGATGTCTGTACACAGGCGGCAATTACACGAAGAGCGCATGTCGCTCGACGTTGTAGACAGTGTTCCTAGTTTGAGTATTTCTCAAATCTGTGTAGGACTATGTCGAGCTTCACAGATGCGATGGCTCCCGACATATACAACATTTTAAACGATTGCAAATGTAGGCAAGGGTTGATCGTTGCCAAAGAACCCGGCAACGAACAGAACATTGCGTAAGATCGGGTCAGCGGACCAAGCAGTACCTGAGCGAGTAGGCGAAAAATCATGCATATGGCGTCGAGCGCACCTCAATACGCATGGTCACCAAATAAATTTTACCTATACGCACGAAACATTAAGGGAATATCGAAACGTTTCATAGAAAATACGAGGCGTTACCGTATCTAATATACAACATAACGAGTGTTATTGAGACAATGAAATTAACTTTTTTTTTTTTATCTGCCCAAAAAACTTTATAAAACTCTAATGCGAAAGCTTTAAGAACGAACTATTTACAATAATAATTAGCCAAATATTGAGCACTCGATCGCAATTCAACACTTTAAAACTGCTACTCGCTCGATTTTCTCACGCACGGATTTTTACTAAATTTCTGCACATCATTAGCTTCAGGTCATGAAAAGCATGCTCCAAATGTAGATATTATCTATAATCACCGATATTACTTAGTTATTTTAATTAATTATATTGGTAAACGATTAACTGTACCTGCTGCACCGCTACTCTCTTACATAATCAATGAATATATATACATACATATCTCATGTAGAAAATACAGCAATATCAGCAGAAGCGCGCCTAGCAGCTAACCCCGTACCTCTGCAGCCTTCCTTAGTTTCTTTCCTTTAAAACCTGGCCACCATCCTTCCTTCGTGGCTGTCTTCCATTCGTTGGTTCACAATGACGCCGGCGATCGACGCAGTGAAAGATCAGAAAGAACCCAGAGTAAACCCTGACTCAGCAAACTCACTGATTAGAATCGCAGGGTTCTTCTACTTTTTGGATGACGTATTCGAGGTTAAAGCCCAACTAACATATAGAAGAAAAAGGTTGCGAAGGGCCTCCTCGTAACATTAAGCAGCATCTTGAAAAATTCGTTTCTGAGTTGTCGATATTCCCCATATGTTTACTAAAAATCTTAAACTAGTCAGTTTTTTTTTTTGAAAATTTTGCGGGGGAGGTCCAATGAGAATATAAATATAGCGTAATTTTGCATTAGCGCATGAAACTGTTGTACGATCTCGCCAGAAGGGTATTTACCTAACGAGAGTATATCCGCCGACAATAATTTTTATGACACAAAACCTTGAAAGGTTTCAACCTGATGGTTATGTCTCTCAAATAAGACTAAGTTCAGCCCTTGCTGTAATTAAATTCGATTCAACTAAATCTACTACACGATTTCATCTTTTTGCTTATCACAATCACAATCGATTTTTTCATTTAAGTATACACAACTGTTTATGCCCGATTTCAAGTGTATATTTTGACATCTAGCGTTTGCCACCTATTTTTTCAAATTTTAGCGGTTCGACAGCGAGGACTACCAGACTACCAACCGTAAGCGCTTCGGATCCTCAGCGATAATTCTTCGAATTACTTGAGTGTGCAATACCAGCTAACTGTACAGTTACGTTTAACAGGCGTCACTACATATATGTACTTGTAGAATAATCGAAATTGATCCCTTCCATATTATAAGCTATATCGCCCATTGCGGAAGCAGCTGGCTGAGAGACTTTGGCCGAAATAAGAAATTTATTAGTGGCTATCGAGCACGGAAAAAAACTAGAGAAACAGTAAGAGATGCCTTAAAATGGCAGAACAAAGTCTCACACACACAGTGTCCTATACTTGCACCTGGAGAAATAATTGGCCTGGGCTAATTTATGTTTTCTGAGCTGGAATAAGCGCTTCGAAGGTGCTAGGGGCTTCTACGGAGTAGTACATCGCATCAAAGTCCTTATTCTAGACGGTGTGACCTAACAATTATGAAGGAATCCCAATTTAATAATACTATTTAATCTAACACGGCTTATATAATTGAACGCTGTCAAGCCAGGAAGTAGAACCATTTTCTCTCAACGCATTTGCAATAGTAACACAACTGATGCGTATCATTATCAGCTGGATATGCCCGGCATCACAGAAAAATTATACGCTTGTTAATCAGTCACACATCCGCATCAATGTACGCCTCAGAATAATAACCTCATAATCTGATAGAGGTGTTCTCGATTGGACCAGCTTTTAATCAGTTTCATTATTTCGTGGCGTTAGCTAACGGGTACCATGAAAGATTACGAAGGTTTTTGCCGCTGCGAGGGTAGCCTAAGCGTTATACAGTAGTTTATGAATTCGTTGTACTTCAAATCGTCACATTTCTCAGCAGACAGCGTCTACTCACAAAAGTGTCATCGATCCCAGGCCAAAAGCCGCAAAAAGAGAAAAGAAAAAAACTCAGCCGCAAAAGGCAGATGGACATGAAGCACTCTGCTAATACATGCTTATGCAGGTCGGTGGCCAGAAGGACCGAAAACGCCAGCACCGACCAGGTAGTCATTCTCGTTACAGCGGTTGCTGCTTACTCAATTACTACCGTCATAACAGCATTTCAGTTGACGGAAGTCAACAGAATAGGCAACAACGCGATAATAACAGAAGACGCGAAAAGAAGCTCCTGTCGCTCATTTTGCGGTTCTTGTTGTCCCGACAGTTCGCAGGAGCTCAGCGATGCTTTTACAGCGTCACTCACGCATTGCTTTGATTGTCATCGTTAACGCGTTAACATCGAGAGCCTCAGTGTCTCTAGCAACGCCACTTCGACGTGTCTGCATCATGCTTATTTATCTATTATATATATATATATATATATATATATATATATATACATATATTGTTTTTCTCTTTGCTTCAGGAAAAGCTGGGTATCTGCGCCTCCGTCAATCAAAGAACAAACGTCGCTTCTTTAGCCCAGTGTTTTTCTTTTGCAGAAGAATGGAAGAGTTAAATGAATATCCACGATACTACGGGTAGTCTTTAATTCTAGGTTCGCAGCTTTGTCCACCATGTTCTGATGAGCTCCTCAAGCTAACCTACGAACCTAATCTCAATCCTTTGGCCTACAAGGACATATTTATCATAAATATACACAACAGTTTTGCCGAAACAGATATGTTAGTCCAGAGTGTATATACAATCTCCAAGCCATATGTGCATATATCATTAAGATGTACGTAATCGACTGCCACGGAGCATGGCAGCAATATACGTAATATAATTTGAATGCATGAACATAATAGAACTTCTAGAATAATATATAGTAATCTTTTTTTCTAAATGACCCAAGAACACATCACTAACTGAACGGAAGATTTTGCTAGACGGATCTCGTGGTTCGATCGTATGCCACTGTACATCTTACAAGGCGTTCTGCGTTCACACTATAAGAACTTAATGAACATTTGCACCATTTTACTCCTATGCATTGTGTTCTTAATTAGAAGTCAACGCTTACTGTAACTGCTATTGGTAATGGTGCGTTTTATGATTAGTGGGGTGAATAACCCCATCCGCCCCCAGCGAAAATGGTAAGGAACATTGAAATTTGGATTTTAAACTTAACTAAAGATTGATATTTTAACGCTTTTTCAAGAAAAAGGGAGTCAAAGGAGCTTTACTATAAATGTTTCATGTTACTGCAGAGTGTGAAACAAATCACACAGCTATATAAATAGTAGAAAAACTGATAACAATGATAAGAATGCAAATAATAATAACAGCTATAATTATGGTGTAGAAGTTACAAAAAGTAAAGTAGCTTTGTAATTTCTAGGCAGTGCTTACGCCGAAATTGAATCATTTTTACAATGCTATAGCACACATGTAATTAATATTTTGAACGCCTTATATTTAGTGCAAATTTTGTCCTAAATGTGGCTCCCACTTGTCGGTTTTTGGAAGTTAAGCCTTATCGTACTCAGCTATTATGGTAACTGGAAAAATCTTACAAGAAAAATATTAGCTGTAACTACAGTTTTAGGATATTCGTAGCGAAAACAAATAAGATTTCTACTAAACTTATAAGTGTAAGACCTTTCAAAACAAAGCTGCAGTTCGAAATATGCCCGCATTCTCAGAGCAATCAAATGTTGCATATTTGTCTCTGTTTAGAGGAACGACTTTTAATAATGAAAGTGGGCCATGTAATTTCGATTCCACCTGCACCAATATTCACATTATCATTTTGAAAAAACAAAAAGTTATTCTTTGTTATTTTTTGAAACGTCAGCAGAGCCTATAAGCAATGTACTCTAGGTATAGTAAAAATACGGAAAAAGGTAATTTTAAAAATTCCCGAAATGGGCCGGATGATTTTACGTGCAGCATTCAAGGAGGCAGAAAAACCATGCCATCCAGCAGTCAGAAATAGGCTTCTTGGTAGAAGGATTTGAATCATGTGAGAATCCACCTATTCGTTCAACTGTATATATCTCTGCAGGGATAACGTATTCAGCTACTAAATTTACGAACAGGGGGTGATATGGGGGTGGAAGCCGATCGTAGACATGATGCTGAGAGCCACACGTCTGACGTAATGCTCCACTGCAGTATCTGGTTTCGAATAGGTTCTATATAATCAATCTAGCTACGTACAGATTGATAAGCGTTGCTAGTACTAAATACAACAACTAGTAGAGAACTAATCGCAATAGGCTGAACGAGACGTCACCCGGTGCAACGATAATGGCCAGTAAAGTGCTGTTCGACCCAAATTTTAATGAAGCAATATTGAAGTGTTACCGACACATTTACGCGAATATTCATTGAATTGTCTGTGTGTTTTACATCTGTGTGAAACGTTGGTGTTTATGTAAGTATTAAATTTTTTTGTGAGTCTATATATCGTGAGTTGGTAACGATAAATCACATTGATGAATACGTATTTGCACAGCTTCGTGTGGGGTGTTTGGGGTCGAAATTAAGCTCTCATATTTGTTGTTTTTTTGTTTGTATTTAGACTTTCTTAGCTTCTTATTCTATGATTTTCGGCTGGGTAGAACTTCTTTTAGATCTGTAACGAATCCATGGCCATCACGATGATAAATACAACAGCAATGAACTTCAGCCCGTGAACTAAAGTACCAGCAGTTGATAGAGAAGGATAGAAAATTGAATATGTAAGAGCCCAGCCCCAAAATGTTTACTGCTTTCTCATTTTCGGTGTCATCATTGTCGTCTCTGTAAGCGTCTCCTTCTTCTATTTCGTCTCTTCTTTACTCTGTTTTTGGTTTGCTTGTTGTTGCGCCTTTAGACCGAAGCCTGTTTGCCCTGCTTCTTCTTGGTGCTCTTCTGCGCCATCTTGATTTGAAGCTTTCAAAACAACAACTGCAATAGGATTATTAGACCGAGTTGCGTCACTACCAACAATGAAAACGAGGACAACAGCAACAATAACATCAAGCCGTCCTCTAATGAAGATCTATCTGACGTAACGCTTAAAGCTACCTATGGAAAGAGCTCCGCGTAACAGTCAACGAACACAGCAGATCTCTATTCCTAAGCAGGGTACCAACGGGAAAAGTTGGCAAATCTTCATTTACATTTACTTTATGACTTTATTTACTATGAAAAGCTAATACCATTGACTAACATGCCTAGAATTTTAAAACAGCTATAATTATTTAGCAACATTTAATGTATGCTGCCAACGCTTTAGAAATGGCACCGCTGATGTAGTGTGATAGAATTTTTCAGACAATATCATTTCTATTCGAGTTATCCGCCTTCGACGCAACTTGATGGAAGCAAAGCATCTTTAGATGGTAACTTAATCGTGCCCGAGCCGTTGCGAGGGTTACGGCACAAATCAATCAAGATAACACAGTCACCATAACACATCGTCTACTTATATAACAGGTACATGAAAATCCGCTAAGATAAATAATTCCTTACTGAAAGCAAAGCTTACTTAAATTCGCACAGAATTTTAAACTTAACTTGCTACAATAATGTTTCATTGTTTTTGTTTGTCTGTCTGTCAACCTTATCTCCTCCTCATACGTCGACCCCCTATTGAATTTATAGCCTCTATTCCTCTAATTGTTGTACTTATTATTGATCTAGTTACATTCCGTCGAGTTATTCGTCGCGTTTTCCAGCGCCAACGAATTGCTGCTTCGGAGCAACAGATGGCGCTGGTGCTACCGTTGCCTCCGCTTTACGGGTGAGTGCCGTCAACGTTATCGTCGCCTTCTGGCAGCCGGTTTGCGTAGGCGTGCGTGTATTTATCAAATATGACAAACTTTGCATCCTTTTCTTGTGAGCAGCAGTGCTGCTCACTAGGCGTACTAAAATAATTACGGCCTGAGGGAATTTATATACATCTCTTACAGAAAACAGATTCATGCCCTGCCAGTACCTTCGCCTGATACAGTCTCAGGAATCAAAGTGTGACATATTTGTTCTTCGGGTGAGGGCTTCGATTCAACATAATACTTTCACATCTTTAACATCAGGTTATCTTTTCCGGGCCTTAACGTTAACTGCCTTTAAACTATGAAGCGGTAGAATCGAGCAACATTGGACGACCTGCGTTATTTTGACTCAGCCATATTGGTGCCCCCTCAAAATCGAACTCCTTGTGACTCGTCCTACGAATTACCTTCAATACAAATTAGAATATGCTTCAGATGTACATTAGTTGAAATAAAAATTAGAACTTCTTAAGCATGATATAAATGCCTAGTTCAAGGAGGCCATGCGCCACTTATATTTGAGATACCTATAATTTTATTAGATATAAGTGAATACATTGTATTTGTCAAAAAGCAACGAAAAATCCTCAGCGGCTCGCTTAACTGTCGTCGGTAACAGCTGCAGATGACGCTTCGCGTCTCACTAGCTAGACATGTTACACACTTACGTTTGCCACTTGCATTGTGTTCTATGTCTGTGTATATGCGCCGATTGCTCTTGAACGGAAAATGCTACCGTCCGCCGATTAGAGTGGCTTAATCTGAGCCGTTTTCTAACTAAAATCAAGACAGAGAGAGAGAGATACCTGTTTGTACGCGTTCCTTGGTGTCTATTTATCCGGATATGTACACGCACGTCAAAACGGAACGGCCAACGGGAACAAATTGTTCATCGTGCCCCGAACATCTGTGGTGCCTTCCCATATCACCAAGGTGGCGTTATTTAGCACTCCCAGCAACCGTGATAGCGACTTTCATTCCTACGGAGGCAACAGCAAAATTGCCGACGATTTCGAAAATCAAATGTCTTTTTTTCAAGCAATCTGGCGCGTAAATAAGCCGAATTGAGTTAACGTAAAGAAAACAACGATATGTTACATTCACATCACGCTAATACGATATAAACCAATAGAAAACAGAGCATTCATTCGATCTTTAGTGCCCCAAGAACAAGGCATAACCTTATAGGTGTAGCTGAAATTGTGCCGTTATTATTAAGAATCAATCGTAAGCTATAACCAATTTTGAAACCGGGACGACACACACGTCTGAATGAAGTAGTAAAGAATAGCGTCCCAATCTTGAAATAATAGTTAACATGTTCAGCCTTAAGTATCGTTTTAAAATATGTTCATACAGATATTATTGAGGGGATATCTTTATCCTGAAATGTCATGTATTTGCGATTTAAACTAGTCGAAAGCGTAGATTCGATTGAAAAAGACGATCGGCAGAGAATCCATTTTTTTTTTCTAAATTTAAAGTGGCATAAACGCACCCCGCTACGAGGGGCATCCCTAGTGATGCTAGCTGCTTAAAAGTAGAATAGACTATAACTGCTGTGAGCTTTCTTCCCGTAAACACAGGCCACCACAGATTAAACAGGACGTTTACGAATTGTCACACTGCAAAAATTATACGAATCTAGCCTTGTATACAAAAAGCGCCACTACGGACTTTCTCCAGAAATTATTTTATCTCCATAGCTCAATAACTGACTCAGTGCATCTCCACTGTATGTTCAGAATCACTCATCAGATCAATGTCGACAGCCAGCATTGAGGTTCTGAACATTCTCGCCGTAGATTGTCGGCACACGATACGTGGTCAATGCCAAATGTTACAGCCCGTTGTAATCTCAAAATTCTATATAGCTTCCATGGGATTTAGTCGTCTACCCAACGAAAGCATCATTTATGTCAGGAATATAGTGGAAACTCTAACAGCTTTTTTTTTTTTTTTTTTTCACAGATGGCGTGTATAAGGAATGACTGACAACGCAAAGAGTTCTTACCTCTCCTTCGACGGCAACGAACTGGATTTCGAATGTTTGGACCCATTTAAAAATGCTTTACGTATATATGTGCATAATTCACAGGTACGACAATCTATCAACCAATAGTATTGCTTCAGCGTCCCAAACACCTGTGAGTATCGCGATTGTTCTCTAATGGCGTGTGATTTTTACATGGTTATCCACCTTAACTGCAGTTTGTTATGGGCTATAGTATAGCATTGAAATGTTCAGAGCTTTGTGCTTAGCTCCGGATGGCTGGATGTCGCCCCAGCACACAATGGGCTGTTTCGAACAAAGACCACCGTATACGTCTAAGTTTAGTAGGCATATATACCATCACTGAAACATTAAATCGTACTAGATCCTTAAAAATAGCTTCAATAAATAATTTCAAGTGTTCACTTGTAACTTATTAAGTTATAGAATAAGGAAGTAATGATAATTATCAAGTTGTATGAGTTAAGCTTATGCCCACGCTTATGGTTTAACTTGTCGATTAAGTTATTTATTAGTAAACCAATTAATAAAATGCTTATGACAGTTTTTTTAGCTGAATATAATCTCCCACAGTGAATTATTGTACGTGCCTGTTCCAGAATCTTGGAACGCAGTTCCAAGGGGTTCGTTATGTGTCTACTGCATACGGAATCACCACCATCTTGATGTTGCTATCTTGATGTCGTATCGGTTTAAATATACGCAGACAGCAAACGTTAAAGACAGTCTAGAATTAAGCTATATTTATAACTTCGACATTACGTTTTTCGAGCACGTTGTTCCTCGTTCTCGTCTCATCTCTATGTCACCATTAAAATACGTCATTTCCATCTTGGACATAGTCAAATATCTGTCGGAGGTATTAAATGCCTTGAGTGTGCCGACGACGTGTAAACATAATGTCCTCTTCAATGGCCTACTTACACGGATTCCTTCAGCAGGCTCTAGGAGGTATCGCTTGCAGCAGTGGCGAACATGCCTTGCCACCCTCAACGCATGACTGCCTTGTATGTAAGTATGGCACCTTAGGGTGCAAAGATATCATAGGCAGCTGTGCTAGTAAACCTGTGTATGTATATAATCTAATAAAAATCTTAATTCAGATTCTAAATCAGGTGCTACCAGAGGTGCCCCGCTCGAAGACAAGGCACATCGTTCTTTCAGTAGACAGAACCATTCCTGGACGATGAAAATGACCGTGCAGTAATAACAGTAACTGAATCCAATATGCTCAGCGATGGTTTTGACTTAGTGCAACGAGGCGTGATGATATATTTGTTTTTATTATTTGCATCTCGGGACAGTCTGTCAAAGCGGAAACTTAGAATCGTTTAATAGTGTTCACTTCGGAACTCTCAGCGCTATATCCCAGTGATTATGCCGGGTAACGTGTTTGCAATTCCAAACTTCGGGACACACGGTGGTTGAAGGTTCGAAACCGGCCGCAAACACATTTCATTTCACGCTAATAGTGGCCAGCCGTATTCATAAATGTCTGCTATTTTCGCTGCCTTTTCATAGAATCGAGTGAAAAGTTCGCACTAAGGACGTTCATTAGCATCTTCTTTGCTTCGTTACATATGGACCAGTGAGCGTAAAAATATCGAAGTTTTGTTTGTATATATTCTATTTTGGTGCATGGGATCACTAGATGACGTGTGGTTGGTACACTCTTTTCGAACCAATGTCGGCTTACAAGCAGGCGTTATCAGGTGCCGTCGTCTGCGGTGTACATATAGCATATATATATATTGGCCATATCATGACTTCCGCGTTTAGCATGCAAAAGGCCAGACTGCCTTCTAGCGACTTCGGACGTTTGCTTTCCCCTTTCCCTGTAGCTAAAGCGCTGCCTCTCGTTCTTTTTTCATGATAACAGAATAAAACGACCTAGCCAAACAGCCAAGATCATGAAGTACTGTTGAAGACGCCAAAGGAACGGCCGCGGTGCCTGTGCCTGTGCAGAGGATGCCGGAATAGAGAAAAGGCGCTTTGGCATAACACAATGAATAAAAGGCACAAAGCGGTCACGCGGTAACAATCGAACGATCCAACGTTGATGATATCTGGCCGATCAAAGTGCTAGTAGCCATATGTAGGGGTTATTCAGCCTGCTTAGCCAGCTACCAGCAAATATAATGACTAAACAATCCCGTTCACTATAAATAGTGTATTTCAGGTATGTAGATCTGTCTACATTGAATTAAATCATATTCAAGCAAGTACGATGCTGACACCGAGCGTCGTATTTAACATTTTCTCAGTAGCGCTTGATGGTACGATTTTTTTAGACTTCTGAGTTGCACTTTCTTCCATTTTAGCGCTCTTTTAGTCTATGGACTGAGTTTGTTGGTTCTAGTATGCCTAGCGCCATCTATGTGGCAGCAAGTATAGCATCTGGTGCAGAGAGCTGAATGTAGGTTAATGGAATATTGTATCCTTAATTATGAAGACATATTCTTCCCACAACGACTTGTGCGTCTCAATAAATAGAGAGAATTAAATACTGAGAAGCTTAACTGCTAGCTGCCTTCATTAGATCTTGAAAAACACACTGGACGACCCAGTCGATCGTTGAACTCATTAGTGCGGTGACGCTGACGCCACTTATTTTACATCGTCACGCTCAGATCAACAAACCTTTACCTCTGTTCCCTAACCCTAAGAAGAAATACACATTTTACATGTGTCTGATCAATTATACGCCAAAGATATGTGTGCATTTGTCCATCACTACGACTGTTCGGAACACTCGTTGCCGCCGTACGTCTGAGTAACAATGTTCGTTATTGGTAAGAAATATTTTAAAAAATCGTCGTGGAGAAATGGTCACGTTTAGTGAAATGGAAAGATTCACGAACCAATAGACCTATGTAAATCAGTGATTTGTCTATCTTAGACTCACTTAGAAAAGTCGAATAGCAGCAAACGACAAAACAAAACAGCTTACTCTTGGAGTTCACTAGAAAGGTATGGAATTCAGCCATACTCACAAATAACTTAGATGAGAACTTTAGTTGACGTAGAACTTACCTAAAAACACATTTGAGGGCGTAAAAGGTACAGCGTGTGTTACGGCACAGGAAAGCTACAAACGAGATAAACCTGACTCGGAGCTGCTGATGAATGACAATATTTACACATGGCTCGTATCATAAACATGGCTGCCTTATCTTTGAAGGTGTTAACCATAAGGTTGGTTATGATTCTGCAAGCGACTGTTTCGCAGATGACCACCTTGGGAAAGCAGTCAATTCATATTGTCCCTTCTATATGATACTTGCTAATAGCGGTGTGCTGAATATAACGATGGAGTGAGGAAGGGAGACAGACAGTCTGTGTCGCTGGGTTAACGGTCGCCTTTGCGTCTAGCTATCTGCAAAGCTTAAGCCTATGGTTGCTGGAGCTATACACAATAGCAGGATGTCTACCTGCACGTTTAACTATAGCAAGTAAGCCCCGTTCGCAACGTGGAACAGCCCAGTCTTCTACTTCCCGTCTTCTGCCTTCGGGTGCTGATGGTCATGATGATTGTGATGATGCCGATCGTCGTGGCTGTTCTGCCTTCTTCCTTCCACCGTCGTCATGCCATTACTCCCGCTGCGGCCGTAGAAGGGCCCGGGGCGGCACGTCGAGTTCAGTTCACCGCTCGAACAACGAACGTCTCACAGACAACACCAGCATCCGCGAATTGCCGTAGTCGAAGAAAAGCCCTAACTGCGATGACGCACAGCACAGCTACCCTTTCTTAAGTACGCGCTGGCCATCAGTGAAAGCCGACTGTGGCGGTGGAGAGATGTTGATGCGAGTTTCTTGGCGTTCGGGGACGAATACCGCTTGTGCATAGTAAAGCGCGAACCCGGAATTAAAAGCACAAGTTGTTATTGCCTCTAGTCCATCTCATGACTTCTTTCGGTTGAAAAAACGCGCTTGTTCTTCTAGTCGCTCAATCCAGCTCTCACCTTGTCGATTCCGGGCAACTCGCGCAGAGGAATCACTTGTTGAATGAGGCTCAGTGGCTAAACGTTACAACAAACGATGAATCCTCACCTATTGCTTAATCGTGTTAATAAGCTTTACACACAAGACATAAATGTACGTCTATTCACTTTAGATAAGCAAGTATACGGTCCAAAGAAAGCTTGTTAAGCTGTCGGTTTTTAAGACTCCGAAGAATAGGTATACAGAAGTATAAATTCAGAACATTTATTACTGGGACATTGGATTTATGGGTATCTTTCGGCAAGAACACAGCTTTCAGTTAGAAGTGGCATCTTAACCAGGAAATATAGCTATCAACAGATGAACAGTGCACAACCTCGCATATAACCGTATATATAAAAGTTCGTATATATATATAACCATTCCGATGCCAGGGCGCCTCAAACGATCGATCCATAGGCGGCTGTATTTGCCACACTCTCCATAGGACAAATATTCACGAGTGAGTTAAATCGGTCCTATCTCTCTATGACGCGGGATACATCAACTGTCTATTTTTGCGCGACCTAATACTATTCTATTGAAAATTGACACAGTCCCTTTCCCTAGCACATGAATGTTCTTCTGGTCTTGCTGTTTTGTTACAGCTTAATAATCTAGCAGCTCATATCGATCCATGCTGTCCAAAAAAACAAAAAAAAAAAAAAATATATAGATGTATAGAAAGTGTATTTCACTGGAGTGCCTTCGGAACGAAGCGGTTTGCTCTGTTGTATTATTCAAAGGTGTCGATTGCATGAAGTAGAAGGGGTTGTCCGCAAAGAGCTACGAAAGGGTGTATCTAACAGGCCAACTGGTTTGCCACTTCAGTATCTATAGCAGTCAAGTAGGCCTGGTTGATCTGGCCTTGTTGCGTCCAGTGCAGCTGTTGACCGCCGATTTCAGAGTCATCGCTATAACGCTAGCATTATTTGAATCCTGTACTGCTGGATATGGCTAATCGTTTTGCGACTGGCAGTTTTTTGCGGCGAACAAGAAAGAGAGCATACGCTAGCTGGCACATGTTATTCGATCGGGAACAGCTTCATAATTCGTCGCTAGATACAATTCCCGGTCTCGAAACTAATTCTGCTGTCACCACTGCTGGCGCTGCAATCGCTGTTTTGCTTTTACTAGGGCAACAACTGCTACTTTACAATGGCTGTTTACAATTGTCTGTCATGATGATGTTGGTACAGACGATGCTACATTTCTGGAACGGTTGTGTCGTTTTGAAAGACGCCATTTATTGACTGCCATTGACTCACTGACTGGGCAGGACCCGAACGGCGAACGTTTGCGTTGCACTGGCTACCTGACTGAACTACTCACTTGGTCCGGCAATATACGACGCATACTATTTGCTTCTCCCGCTGCTATTGTTGATGCTGATCGTGATGATGGTGGGGTGGTGCTTTCGGGCGGACTTTGACTGACTGGGCAGTGTTCACACTGCTGGCTATCTTCGCTCTCGATATCACTAAATTTAGACTACGTCGCTGCTGCTGATGGACAAGGAAACGCCCAATCCCTTCACCCCAGCAATCGCTACCCATCAGATGATGATTGTTGGTTGGAAGGAGATAGATGTGGAAAGCAAGAACGCAAGATATAGGGTGAACCTGCAAGGGCGAGCTGCGGGGGAAAGAGGTGAAACGTGGGGCATCATTTAAGAGAGGCAGACGAATAAACGTGTTCCGTACAGTTATACTGACAAAGAAACCGATCGCTCTATTGTGCAATTGAGTGCACATTTATTTTATTGTGGTATTAGGGAGGTAGCTCGCAGGACCGAGGTGACAATCAATTCTACTACAATTCCATAAGTCGTATATTCCACCCTTTAGACGTAGCTCCTCAGAACGACAATTCTCATCCTAGAAGGAACTTAACTTTCATCCCGAAAAATTTCTTCAGTCCTTACGCACAGTTACACACGAAACTTGTTGACTCTTATAAGAAGCCAACATTTCCAGTTAAGAATTCCGTAGTCTTTTTATTTTTCTATTTTGACAATTCTTCAATTGCATTTAGTTAATAGTTTATTCGAAGTAGGTCAATAAAACAATCAGAATAAGGATGCTGTGAAACAAAACACCTATTTTGTGACACCGGAAAGGTGATATACCTAATCAGGTTCATTAACTATTTTCTTTCTATCATATAAGAACAATATAGAACATACCGTTACGCTTATAAAGGTCATGTAGAATTCATCGCTTCATCGTCGCCTGTCTGGCATGGTGCCCGGTAAAAAAGCTCCTTTCTGTCCTTATAAGTTCAGGACAGCTCAAGGATTTTGTTACGGGCAGCCTCGATGTAAGTCTTTACACCTCCTTGCGAGTGAGCTGAAAAGGAAAAGGGAACCTCGATAGTCGCAAATTTAGCAACTGAAGGCATTCATTCTTGCACTTACTTATAACTCTTAGTAGCTCTAGGCCTTGTGGGCACTCCCTATAAAAATATTTATTTGCCATATAGTCTTGAGGGTTTGCAATATTATTTATATATTTTTTTCTTGAGACTCCTTGGCGCTCTTTACTGTTGAAGCTACTGCATATAGGCTGTCAAAATGATCTGTGGTCCGTAATACTTGAGATACGCCACTTTTTGCTATGATTAGAAAACATAGCCAGTGTGGTACACTGTGTTCCGGCTTTGATTGACTGTCTTATCTGTAATACCCTAGGTAATGACTAGGACCGGAAAAAGGCTGTTACTTGTTTACTTGTCTGGAAGATATGAACCGTTTTTAGTCTAGAAGCTTAATTTGAAAAAATGCCTTCTTCCCACACGTAGTTCACATATTTTGTACTCACACCAACGCAGATCTGTTCCCCACTGTTATAAAGAGGCCGCTAAACGGATAGAAACGTGAAATGCAAGTTCCTCCAGGCGGCATAGAGTACAGACGTCATCACGTTCCACTATATGTAGGTTGTCACTTCGTTCAACACACACGTACGCCTACGATACCATATATATATATATATATATATATATATATATATATATATATAATGCAGATATGTAGTAGTTTAATGCAGATTGTTATAAGCATTCTGTAATACAATGCTTCAATGTAATGCAAGATTTCGTATGAGCTGGTGGGCTATGGCCATAAACATTACCAGGCGCATAGACTTGGCAAGATATCACCACCACCTTTCCATCATCATCGACTTTACCGTCGTCATCATGATCATTATTAGCACCTTCATAAGCGAAGTAAAAATTTGTCATTTGTCGCGTTCTCAGAGGTAAAAGTTTGTCGTCTGCTTCCTTTGCGTCTATTTGTGTGTTGCAGCGGTACTACGAATAGACCGATTTCCCATACGATCGCGGCCGTTGTTGCGAGAACAACATCTGCCACAACATTTGGCCATCGGAGGCCTATGCAATCAGCGTAAACACTATCGGACCACAGCAATAATGGCCGATTGTGTGATATGATGTAGTAATGCCTAACGGCTCTTCCGGACGTAAAATTCGAACTGTTTGGCCGATGCTGGTCGAGATGTGTTGTTATCGTCGTCGCTGCTGTCGTTATCAGTTGATCGCCATTTGTTCGTCTATTTAACACAACAATATTATTCACAGGACGGACAGGAACCGTCAGCGTAGACGAATTGCGCCAGCCGCTCCCGGTAAATCGCAATGCTGAAGACAACGTCGCTTCCATCCGATGTTAGAAGAATGTAGTGTAGCAACGATGATAGAGGCCGCGCAAATAACAAAAATAATAGCGATGGGAGTAACTTTTGCTCTATCGCCATATCAACTTTAGCACTAACTACATTGCTGTTACCGCTGCTGTTTTTGCAGAGGCGTGACTGTAGAAATAAAATCAGACCGTCCTGCTGATGCTGTTCATGCACTGGCACAGTTGAAGGCGGAGACAGTTATGGCGGATGCTGCTACCCCTAATGGCCATCCCAATACCATCACCGTCAGCACTACAATGATAGTGATTATAATGACAGTAGACGAAGCTGGCGTAGTCGTTGGACGTCGAGTGGCGTCAGAGTCGATCGTCGACGCGCGGCCAGCGGCGTTAGCCGCAACTATCTGAGCAACTAGACAGTCACAATGAAGCCAAGCGGCGCAACCCCACCATATATTGCTATTGCTTCGACTAGACCGACGGACCGACCGGTGCTCTTGTTACTATACAGGGGACGTGGGCGGAAAACACGGTAACCTTATCAACCTCACTATGATTGCCGTATGAGACTATATCAATCGTAGCAGACGCTATAGTCAAGCATGGACAGCAAAGTGATTGGATTAACAAAGAAAACTCTAGCAGAAGCGCCACCGCCGGTCGGATGATGACTGGCCGAAACAGAGACGAACGAAGTACCCCCAACGCAT